AATGCGGTCTTATAAAAAAGATTTTACATCAAAATGAAGACAAGTTTCTAGAAATTGGTTATATTCAATCATCACCTGAATTTTTACATTGCTAAAGATGCTGGAAAAAGGATTGGTTCTCTGTACTGCTCCAGTAAATATCTGACGCTTCCTGCTATCTGCTACCTTTTCAAGAGCCAGATCAGACTGAAAATAGAGTACTGCCACCATATATGGGCAGGAGCTGTCCAGTCTTTATTTTCCTGTCTTAAAGTCCAAAATATCTCAGTGTCCTTGTGGGTGACAAATTATTTTCCACCCTGCAACCCTCTTGCTGCAATATTCCTTAGTTCCACCAGTCCTAACCTTCAGAGCTAAGAACTGCACAGGCACATGCATTGTAGTGAACCATTCTCATTCCCTTCAGATTAGTAAGATGTAAGTTCCACTCAAACAGCTTCTTCCCACAAACTGCTGCTTTGTGCAACTGACTCCCAAGAGAATACATCACCAATCACTACAGTCTTAACCTGTCCAAGTCTAGGGTTAAGCATTATGTTGCCCAGATATTCACAATTCCATATAAGCTGTGTGTCTTACTCTGTAACCCTCTACCTTGAGTGGCTCCTGGACTTTGTACAGAGTGAACACCACTGTAAAAAGTATTCTCTACCACCTCAAACTGTAAGCGATCTGGGAGTGCAAACGAAATATTTGTCCCAGATTACTTCCACAACACAAAGAATAAATCACTGTAAGTTCAGACTCGAATATCGGGAGCAGAAAGAAATGTCGAAAACTCAATTCGCAGGTACTATCTCACAAATCACAATGCATGTAACCAGTCAGAAATATAACTCGCTCTCCAATGAACATGGTAGCCAAAAAATACACCAACCCCCAATTCGAGAACACCAACTGCTTTTATCGGCTGAGTATTTTTTTTTTTTCCATTCATCAATGGCTGGGAGAAGACACTCAATTTTTACATATCAAAAAACTTGTATAGTGACTCCTGTGACAGACTTGTTTTTTTAATTTAAATATTTCATCTTCAGCATGTCATGCAGAATATGCGCCCTTTTTTTTTGGTAATTCTTTTTTGCTACATTTTCCATTGTAAGATACATGTGACGTGCTGTTGCTTGGTTTGATGAGGTAAGTCACCGTTTTCTTTGCTATACAAACTCAACCTACTCTTGCTTAAGTAGTTCTTTAAAACTAACAATTGTCTGTTTCATCATTTCACATAATCAAAATCCATACAAGTTTTTAAGGGGAGGAAAAAAAACTTGAAAGATATTTAGATTTATCAAACAACAGTTTTACAATCTTATCACTGACATATTAAAAAGATTTCAACTCAATGTATTTTATCTTGATATACATAATGGATTTGTTTTGTTAGCGATAGTTAAATTGTCTTTTTATTTCAGGATTAAATCTAAACATGCAGGTCAGCAGACACACTGCCTATACCTTAAAATGAATAAACATTCACAAAAAGCATGACAGATTTTATAAACACTGAATAAAATATGAAGCAGAAGATTTACACTTCTATCCTCAAATCCAAAGTAACAGATTATATATACAATGAATAGTAGGACTTTGTTAGTAATTTCTGTCATATTAAAAGCAGACAGAAATATAAAATTAACATGTGAATACTTCTGATTTGAATGTTTAACCTGGCAAGTGACATATTTGGGTGGGAGATGCCCAGTCTTCACTTTCAAGTCTTGATAGAGTTAAAAAAATATCTCAGAGTCCTTGTGGGTGAAAAATTATTTTCCACCCTCTAACCTCTCTCTCACAGGCTGGGCATGGCAAGCCCATCACTGCTCTATAACTACTTCTATAGAAAGTGCTAGGACAAACTACATTCCTTGGCTCTACCAGGTCTAACAGTCACAGCCAGGACCCTCAATGCCACTTACATTGTAGCAAACCACCTACATTCCCTCTGTATTCCATTGGTGCAAAGTAAGTTCCACTTGAACAGCTTCTTCCTGTGAGCCACTACTTCATGGAACAGACTCCCAAGAGCATGTCCCCCCCATCACTACAATCTTAACCTGTTCAAATCTAGAGTTAACAGTTATCATCCCCTCCTACCCCTATGAACTACCCCTTATAATCCTCTACCTTGAATGGCACTCGTGCCTTGTACAGGGTGAAACTTACTGTGTGCTCTATTGACTGAACATTATGGTAAAACTTCTATCCTTTTATATTCTTTATAGTTTTTAAGATGAATGAATCACTTATATTGATCTTTCTAAATAAGATTGATGTATTAAACATTTCAAACAATGCCAATTAAATTTAAAATTATCTTTGAATTTTTTTTTTTTTTTTATTACATTTTAATACAAGTCAGCAATCTGACTAAGAACTTTAGAATAAATATCAAGTAAAAATTACTATAAATTAATATTCTAATCAAAAACCTTAAAGAAATAGTATAGCATCTGTTATATTCATTTTCAATATGTGAGGGTCAAGCAGCTCAGTTCTTAGAACCAACAGCCAAATTACCTGCACATATCATTTGATTATAGTGGTGAAGGACTAACCATACTTTTTGGAAGAGCCAAATACAGATAACTGATGTACATGATATACAGTATGCCACACGGTCCCTAAACGACCCTCTGCAGGTTTTGAATTCAGAGTTTTCCTTCTCCTAGACTGTTTGCCAACCATGGTTATAGGACCCAGTCTGTCTTGCTATTTACCCATAGCTGGGGAGAGAAGAGTTAGATTAATACCTTTCCCAAAGGTGTTAGCATGTAAGTCAATGTAATGAACTTAACTGGAATTCAAACTTGGTTCTCAGATTCCTCAATCCAAGCTGCTATCCATTACTCCACTGTGCCTCCACCATATATATAATATTTTGGGGAATTAATTTTGGCTTTTAATTATTATTTCTAATCTACTTTAGAAAGATCTATAACATGTAGTGGACTTGAGAAGTGTAATTTTCTGAAAAACTGTTTTAAGAAAAAGATTTTATAAAATGTCAGCTCAAAGTAACATTAGCTGTTCAGTCAATGAATGTCAAATGTTTCCTTATAAGAAAACAGTTAATTTCACCATTACTATTTACATTCATATAACATTTCATTTTCTGTCCAAAATTATAACTCTTCATGTCTTCAAGCAAATTAATAAATATTAAAATATTGGTCAAGGATTTTAATTTATGCATGTCTGTGCATTAACAATAGTGTGTGAGGCTAGTATATAAGAGTCAATCAATTCAGTTCTTAGAACCAACAGCCAGACTACCTGCACATATCATTTGATTATAGTGGCAAAGGCTTATGCAGAACCAACCCAACTTTTTGAAAGAGCCGAATACAGAGAACTGGTGCACAGTATATGACAAGGTCCCCTAAACAAACCTCTACAGGTTTTGAATTCAGAGTCGTCTTTCGCGACAGTTTGCCACCCAAGGCTATAGGACCCAGTCTGTTCTGCTATTTATCCATAGCTAGAAGGAAGAAAATATGTGAAAGGTATGAATCCATCTTAAGTGAACGTAATGAACTCAACTTTCAGATTCCTCAATCCGAGCTGCTATCCATAACTCCACCGTGCCCAATAAAAACAGTTTTAAGGTATGCTATATTTATGAGTTAAAGTGCTCAATATCAGGGCTACAGCATTTTTTAAAGTATAATATATTAATCCAAATCAATAAATTACATAAATAATAAACAAATTAACAAACTGCAAATGCATGCATAAACACAAGTAAACTTAATAAAAATCAATAACAGACAACAAAGCAATCAATAATAAAGTTAATACTATAAAATATCCACAAAACCGTATTAGAATCCAATTATTTCCACTCAGTAGCCCCAGAATAATTCAAAACATAATTGTTACTGCCCACACAAAAACTTAAAATAGACCTACCCATATTGCACCACTAACCAGTATATATAAATAGTTGAGCCAAGACACAATGCACATGGACTGATGATTGTTTTTAAACATGAAACAGACTGTTATGCATGGTGTTGACCTCAATGTCCATTTATATATGAGAAAAAAAAAAAAAAAAGTAAATGTGTGCATACATAGTGTGGATTGTCACCATGTAGTATACATTCCTATGTCCAGACAGTCTATATTTATAAATCAGAGATCAAGATTAATATTGTTCCATCATCCCAGGGATGATAGAACATCAGTTTGAAATGACTGGTTAGGTTTTTTGGAATGAGGCCAGGACAATATAACATTTTTAATGAAAATTTTATTATATTGATTGTAAAAGTAATTAATTTCTTAAAAAAGAAAAAAATAATCATGTCACCAATAATAAAAGGCTTTTAATAAATGGTACAAACAAATATAAATAAAACTTAAATGTTTCTTTTAAAGCTGGTAAATAAAACTGAAGGAAAAATAACAGTTGGATTTAAATTTAGAGGTTTGTATTATCTAAAAGTGAAAAAAAACAAGTTCATTATAAGAACTAACTTTGCTTTAATAAGCAACACAAGAAAATTATTGGTGAAAACAAATCAACACAGATATTTCCTCTAGTATTTTTGTCAAGTTCAACCCTTTGAATAAAATTCTGAAAAAAAAAAAAAAAAAAAAAAAAAAATTTGACTTGTAACAGTAATTATATGCCAACACACTAATTTCTAAAGAAAAAAGAATAATATATGGACTAAGCAACAAAAGCTACCACTAGAGATCCAATGTTACCAGTTTCATAAATCATGATGAAATTACCAACAATTAGTAAGATCGTTTAAAAATGGCAGTCATTATAAAAAGAACATGGTATTTCTATTTAATGAAATTATTTTCAGCATGTGTATCAGTAAATTATCAACAAATTTCACAAATTATCATGCCTTATCAACATATTTCACAAATATCAAAACTGTTAACCATGATAATTTGGGTCATAACTGTGATATGAATTTTACAGATGCTTGCATCTCTACCTACCAGATATTTTTAGTGCAAGAGTAAGCCAGCCACATTTTAAAAATGTCCATCCTGCATTGGACATCAAAAAAAGCTTAAAAAATTCTACTCAAAAGATCCAATATTTTTAGAATTTTTAAAAAATAACTAAGTAAAATACTGAAATTATATATATATATAATTTCAGTATTTTACTTTTATTATTATATATATATATATATATATATATATATATATATATATATATATATATATATATATATATTAGAAATATAGTCTTAAGATGTGCTATATTTATGGGATAAGATTTCAAGAATCACATAAGAACTGTTCTATGAGAAGTACAATCACCAGAAAACAAAAGAATGTATAAAGGAAATTGCTAAAGTAGTAACAGGTTTATAGCAAAAGAGTTTAAATTTCCCAAATTTATCAACTCGAGTAAAACTGGATCAATACTGAATGCCTAAGATAAATGTGTGAAATGAGGAAAATATCATCCATTGAATTAAATTTTTGATATCACAAAAGAAAATGTTTAATAGCTCTAAATGACAGACTGTTATATAATCTTTAGACTGACCAAATCAACAAAGCAGATGATTATCAGAAGCTATGTAACAGCTTGCAAGTCTCACAAAAAGCATTATACACTGTGAAAAAGTTTTGGAATTTAGAACCATCAAGACTGGAAATTCCAAAAACAACTGTGCAGAACAGGCAATCAAGTGCCTTTAAGATCTTTCTGATGTGTGTAAAAACAAGGAGAAAGTTCAGGTTACATTTCTCTAACAAAACAATAATTGTATATTATGCTAGAATTATAATAAATATTCTTTTTCTTTATATAGCTATTTTTACTTATAGATGTAAGTTCCTAATTGTATATGCAAGTTTGCAATTTTTGTTTATTTGTAATTTTGTATGTTATACTATAGCTATAAACTATTAAATACGTTAAAAATACTTAAGTACTATCCAATTACATCACTAGCAAATTCAAAAATAAAGCTTCTAAAATACTTTGATTTTTTTACCTTTATTGTGTATATGGTAAAATGGAATTTTCATTTGGGGGGGAGGGGAAGTGACCTTTTTCAAAAATTAAAAACAAATTAATGCCTTTTTCATTACTTTTGAACAAAAGTTCATTGATTTATGACACAGGAAAATAGGATTACAAAACAGTCATAATCCTAGTGTGAGTGTATATATATATATATATAACAAATAAATCCAAAATTACCCCATATGGGGAATACCCTATTTTGGTAGACAATGATATCAGTTGTCTGTCTTATCAACCCTGGTGTGGAATGAGTTCATGTCTCTAAAGTTAGACGAGGCAGGAAGTAGAATTTAACTGTGAAAGCCAATGAATCAACCCAAATCCAGCTTGCCAAAAACAACTAATATCTAATTATATTGCTCTGTATTAATAAATACATTGAGCACATTTTGTGGATCAGTTTTAATATTTTATATTACCAGGATTCACTTTGATTATATACCAATAGATTTTTTTTTTACCTTTATATAAGTAATATTAGCAGTTTTCTGACAAGGAAACATTTGGTATTCATTGACCAAACAGCCCATATCACTTTCAGTATAAATTAAGGTTTGAAGTCCAGTAGCTGTTATCACTCTTTCCATTATAGATGGTGGGAGATTCCTTTCAAGTAGTGTGGAATGTCAACATTTTGATCTTGTTCATCACGCACACGCACACACACTGATTAGAATATTTGTTTTCTGACCATAATATCTGGATTTGAATCTCTCCGAGATCATGACGTCAGGGATATAACTTTATTATGTTATCAGTCTAGAAAAATGATCATAGTGTGCAACACTGTTGAAAAAGTGTTTGAAAACCATACCACAATTCAACCTAAGCCTTGTGAGCAGAATTGGATAGACAGAACTGTTTGGAAATCAAGGTTTTTGCTAACCCAAAGTAACAAGTTATTGTTACCAAGGATCTAACCATACTGGACTTGTTAAAACTGTTGATCACACCAGATTATGAGGTCTCTTCCAGGTTTGCTTAGCATAGTTTTAGTACAAACCCCAAGTGGACTCTTTAGGTGGTGAACAAGTACAAAATGTGTCTGGGCAGGCATTGGCTAGCTGACCAAGCAGATGAGTATGCTTGGAAACAAGTAGTTGGCCATTATTTTGCACACACAAATAGTTAAGGTAATAAAAACTTAAATCTACTTACTAAATATTTACTTTCACATATGAACCTCAAAGCCATTTCTCTGTGTGACATGTCCTTCAAAATATGACTGATCATGGTTCTCCACAACTTCCTGTCTTTTGTTGGTTTCAACAATACCTGTTCCTTTAAGACACTCCCTCTGTTCGTTCAAATCTGGTGAATGATCACAAAATTCTAGACAAATTGTACAGATGCATGCTGGGATTTCTTCCTAGTCAGTAAGATTGGCTACTTCTGTCATTTGCCATAGTCTTGTTCTTTCTTGAAGTCAGAATACTGCGGTCACTTGCCTGTATCTCTTGTGTATTAACACCATTCTTTGAAATCTTTGCCTTGTTACAGTTGCTTTACCTACTTTTGTCTTTCATATATTGTTTGCTTAGTATTATTTTTACCCAGTTCTTTTCTTTCTTTTGTTATTGTTTATTGGAAACTTTGTCAGTTCTGTTTGTTGAAAATTACATTTAACTATGGCCAATTACACTCTCACTCTCTCTGGTACTTGTTTTATTTAATTAACAGTTTTTTGCAGTTTCCATTCTCCTCAAAAGTTCCTCATTTGTCATATGCACTGTCCATGGTATACTCAACATTCATTGATAGACACATCTTGATAGTTTCAATTCTGTTTTTTTCCATATTTATTGTCCAGTATTCATTGCTATAGAAATATATCAGTTCAGTACTTTTTCTTGTCCTAAAGTAACTTTAAACACAATACACCAATTCCTGTACCTAGAAAGGCATGACTATGTGATAATGTAACTTCGAGTACAGTGGGTTAATTGGTGAGCATGAAGAAATTTATTTGCATCTCTACTGATGCAAAGTTTGACACAAGGACATTTGTGTTTTGTTTTTTTAATTTAAACTGCCATGAAATTCAGAAAATGACATGATGTTTCTTTGATATAGGATTGGGGGGGACCCAAAAAACCCAAGACTAATTACAACCACCACCACCACCGCTAATGGAGTTTTGTGACGTCAACAAACACTCCTTGCCACTTCTGTAATACTCCTTGAAGTAGAGGCTTTGTAATCGTAGATACAACTATAGTATGCCATTGAACAATACTGGCATCAGACACCTTCAAATAGTACTTGTATTAATAGTATTTGCTTGATAATACTCGCTTAAATAGTAACCATCATATAGTGATCCAAATAGAGAAATAGTATAGTGAATAGGATAGAGAATAGTAGTCTATATAGTAATAGCGGATAGAGTAGAAATAGCGATCTGTATAGAAGATAGATTAGGAATAGCGATCAATTACATACATGTTACCACTCATATGCATTTCCTCTATGGTCACGTGGTCTACTTAATTCAATAATGGGATCGCCTGTGTTTGCTCACTGGCGATATATGTTCAAACTAAAGTGTCGGCAGCAACATTTTATCCCTATATGATATGGAGGCAACTAGTTATTAACCACAGAAATTGAGGAACAAGTTATCCTGACCTTCCTATTTTAGTGTGACAGGAAAGGGCTGTTTGGAAGTTTGGCCCTCCCTGATGCAAGTCAAAGTTTCAAAGATATAAATCCTCAGGACCCAGTTGTAAGAATATCTTCAGAATATATAACAGACTGCGTACCTGAAACCAACTGCTGCTGCTTACTCTACAAGAACCTAACAGTCAAGTTGTCTTTCATTAGTAAAAGTACACAAAAGCTTCCCCGACTCCTGATCAGCATATATGCATGACTGAACCACTTACATTAATGATGTAGTAGTGAATGAGTTAGCAAACCAAACAAATTTTCTCACAAGGTCAGTAGAAGAATAAGTATTCTATTATCTGAAGCAAAAATGTTTGTACAACCAAAATAGAATTGAAGATTTTATAGGTTTTGTCATTTGGTCTGGCTTTGATTATACACAATGATTGGATACATCACTTTCAATAAGAAAACAAGGATAATAATGATTGTTTACCAACTGTTATTCAAAGTATATTGTCCTGAATGAACAAAAAACATATGTATGTATGTCAGTCAGTTATGTGCCATGTGTAATAAACACTTAGACAATCATGTATCTTTCAATACATGGCTGACGAAGCAGATTTTTTCCCCTGAAGTAGTTTGCCATTTCTTTCTGTGGTAGACCAGTTGCCTTCCAAGGCTATAAAAACGTCCATCCTGCTATTACCCATAGCTTGGGGGGGGGGGGGAAGAAGAGGATTCATACCTTTCCAAGGATATTAGTACGTAAGTGAATGTAATGGATTTGACAGGAATTTGAACTCGGGTCTCCAATTCTTCAATCCAAGCTGCTATCCATTACGCCACCGTGCATCATATGTATGTATGTATGTATATTAATTTTCAGTTTAAAAATCATTGTTTATTAGACATGTTGTCCATGCATTGAATATTGCTGCTACATATGATCTGGTGCTCCTGCTATTCTATTTAAAGATTCTTGATAAAATCCAAAGAAAAATCCAGATCCACAATGTTACTGGTCCTGACCTGACATCCCAGCTTCAGTTACTTTATCACCTCCCTAATGTAGTTTCCCTGTGCCTCTTCTATAAATACTTTTGATGAGCCTTCCACTATAGTACCTAGACTTTATGAATTTAAGTGCAGTACTAGATTAGCAACAGGGTCTCATCAATTAACAGCTGAATTGACTAAATTCAACCATAAGTTTTATGTGAACACTAGCAGCATGGCCCAGCGTTGCTCGTGCTCGATTCAAAAATTGTACGACTCGTACAACAATCGCTATCAATATGACTTAAAATATTTTTGCCCTACCTTGCCTTTAAAGGAGTGCCCTTTGCCGTGCTGATGTTGCTACATGCCTTACTT